GGCTTTGAATGAGGTGAACTAGTTGCGGCTCTTATTATATATATCTCGGTATTTTGCTTTTGAGTTCCCTTTTCTTCTTAACAAGGTGGCCAAGTGACGGAGTGAAGATATTTGTGTTTTCCATCCGTTACTCTCATCTCTGGACTGTATTCGCACTTTCCATCAGGCGCGGTGCAGTCATTTTGCCGAGTCACAATAAAAAAAAAAATAAAAAAAAGTCATCCATCTTTTAGGCGTTACGTGTTGTAGCTGTGGAATCTACTAATTGTCTATTGAATTCTAGCAATCTTGAATTGAATAACATGCTATTGTGAAAGCCAGAACTGTTCTTGAAATGTTTTTTTCTTCGATAATCGGACTAGTGTTGTACACATATGCACACAGTGAGATAAGACGGCTTTGCTCAGTCATACTACACATACATACGCCAACACACGCAAATTTGCGCATATATTGTTGCGATCCACTTATCATTGTGACAAGTTCAAAACAATTAGTTATAATTATTAACACAAAGATCGAACACAAAGGAAATTTCGTTGATCTGACTAAACTGGTTGAGTGAAGAAAAACTTTCATAGATTTGTCACAGATGGCGCTACGGCGAAAAGTCCATTAAAATAAAATAAAAAATCTGTTATGAACGTAATAGAAAAATTCATAAGGCCTACTGGCTCGATCTGTAGCTCAGTTGGTAGAGCGGTCGCCCTGGCATAACATAGACACAGTTTCGTGTCCTGTCAGATCGAAGGAATTTTTCTTAGTATTAGATAATAATTATTACAAACTAGTGGAGTAATTTATTAAAAATAAATGAACGTCATGGTAGTAAAACTGTACGTAAATTATTAATAAGTGTGACAATGCAATAAATAAATAAATAAATAAACATCATAGTATTAATTATGATCAATATTTCAAAACAATTGTTTCCAAGTTATCTTTATCATTAGTATTTTTTTCAAATAAACAAAATGTCCACCCCACCCGCCTATCAAATAAATAAAACAATATTTTTAGCAATGATTTTAACAGGAAATTTATTCTATTCAGTCAACCAAAGAGATTTCATTCATTGATTTTTTTGTGAAACGGGTTCTAAAAACTTCGTTTAATAAAAAAACGTTTAAGTAACTTCCGACTGTTTTTATGCTTGGTTAAAAACTGTACAAAAAAATTGCAATACACTTTTATCACATAAAAGATAATCAATTTCGTTTATTTTTTCTGTGATACGTTCAACACCGTCTATTAGTTCTCATTCTCATCTGTTTAGATTTTACGTTGTGGCAAAAAAATGAATGAATGAATAAGAACGTTCGAAACGTTGCTATTGTTTCCGCAAAGTATTTTATTTTCATTTGAATATAAAAATAAGATTTTTGGTTTTTAAACGTCATCGTCAGCGTACTGGCAACGGCCTATTTGCACAATTTTTGTCGATAAATAAAAGACTACATGACATAAAACTAAAGGAATACAATGGTAATTAAATTAGTTGGCACTTTAAACTCGAGTGCTGGGAAGGATTTCAGCTTCACAAGGTTACCTTGACCCATGCGTGGAACATGGCTTTTTACTGTATTTGTATTATTTACTTTAGGTGTATTTATTATATTTGTGTTTTTTTTTAATATCAAATGACGGGACGAACAAGTCGTGCGCCTGATATGGTAAGCTGCACGCCTGTCCATAACAGTTGCAGAGTCCTCAGAGCTTTGAATCGCAAAGATCTAGCACTGCGCCCGTCGCCCTGAGACATAAGTTGACAAGTCCCATGTGCCTGTAATCTCACCTGCACCCTTAGGGTACGTTCCCATTATGACGTAACGTTTATTTTATCGTTGAACGAGATGACGACAATTTATCGGTTCACGGCAGCCGCCTTGTCGTTTGCACGACAGAAACGTTTGAAGCTGCAATTATCATGACGTTTTATTTATCGTCTGATGACTGTCTTTCTAGATCTTCCCATTGTCACGACAGTTTGTCGGGATGTGAATGGGACGTTCACGTCTAAAAAGTCGTGAACGACAGTTAATCGTGTTGTTCTATGTGTAAACAACTTCATTTAAATGTACAAGCCACGGCACTTTAAACTGCACGACTCAGTCGTCACGACATAATTGGACCGCGTCCTTACCCTTCAAAACCGGAACACAGTAATGCTGACATTACTGCTTGGCGGCAGAAATAGGTAAGGTGGCTTCTGGCTGGTACTTGACTGGACGAACTCTTTCACAAGGAGCTCTACTGCTCCTGTTGTGAATGATATATTTGTCAAACAATCGTGTTGATAGTTAGTGTGATATGTATTTGCCTTGTTTGCCTATTCAACAAATACAGCAAACACCAAATAGGGTCGGTCGGTTTCTCGACGCACATCAAAGAGGTCACAAGGAGGTCAAATAGGCAAACAAACCATTCACACTACGATCATATTATTATTCTAACTGCTGTGTTTGTTATTTTACTCCTTATTTGGCTCCATGTGTACACGATCGTAATTATCAGTATTTGTATGTTTGTTGCACGTCAAATAAAGATTCAGGTAAAGATTCGTTCGCATTCAGCCCTACAATATTTTATTTATATCAATGAAATGATGATATTTTACTTATTGTTTGTTGTAATTATTATTATTATTTTTTATTTATATATTTCAAATTAGCAAAAGAATTACTTTTCCTTAACTATTAAATTTTCTACATAATAAAGTATACATAATTTAACCACTCAATCATAATGATTTGAATTTACCACCTCGCAACCAGAGGATTGTGGGCTCAAATCTGGCATCTAAAGTTTTTCGGAATTTATGGGCGAAATTTAATTTAAAATTTACTATGGGTTTTTGCGGTGAATGAAAACGTCATGTGGAAAGATAATGATGTGTGTGAAGTTCCGAACCCGCATTAAGCCCGCGTGGGAACTACAACCTAAGCCTTCTCATTGTGAGAGGAGACCTGTTTCCAGTAATGGGACTATAATATAGGCTAACCACTATTTTAACCATCAATCACCAGGTTTGAAACTACAGAATTCACAGTACTATGAGTACAAATTCTGTGCACTAACCCTATCTCTCAAGGAGCTCTACTGATTCTTTAAGTAGCAGTAGAGCTCCTTGTGAAAGAGTTCGTCCAGGCAAGTGCTGCCACCTTACCTGTTTCTGCCGCCACGCAGTAACGTCAGCATTACTGCGTTCCGGTTATGAAGGGTGCTGGTGAAATTCAGGCACATGGGAATTGTCAACTTATGTCTCAGGCAGGGTGACGGATACAATGGCTGTGCCCCTCAGATCTTTGCGATTTAAAGCTCTGAGTGGTACAGCAACTATTATGGACAGGCGTGTAGCTTACCATCGGACGCACGACTTGTTCGTCCCGTCACTTGATATTATATAAAAAAAAACCAGAATAACCGGGCCGGAACCAATTCAGAAAAGAAATTTTTAATTGGCCGTAACGGGAGTCGAATCTAGGACCTTCTCATCCACCGCCTACCGTGCAAACCGTTACTCCACCGAGATCGTCAGCTTTTAATGATTGATATTACTTATAACTTTTCGAAAGCTTTTCAGTTGTGTTGAATAGCAAATTGTTCTGAAATTTAATCCTGATTGAGTTAATGCCTTTACTTTCAAATTTGTGATTTTAGGAAATAAGGCTTTCAAGTTTGTGATTTTAGGCAAGGCCAAACGTTCAAGAGGGGTTCGATCATTTTTTTAAATTCCTTGCTTACACGGTAAAGAAAGAAAATTTTACTTGACGGTAAGTCTAGTTACGGCAGCAAAAGGAGCTAATTTCACGGTTCACTGAGCGGTGTGAAAGTAACTTAGAGCGAAAAATAAACGAAAATGATCCGTCATATATTTTAATCACGATCGCGGTAGTGCGAGTGCGCAATTTTGTTGTAGTATATTGTATTGCCACGCCAAAATTAATTTTATTCCACAAATCCTCACGAACCAAAAAAGAGTATTTGCTATGCAGTGGGGATTTGTTGAAAAATCCCGACGTGTAACAAGTATACATTAGTGGGGATTTCTGGGATAAAATTCAATAAAATTTCAGGAACCCCCCAGTGGGGATTTTAGTGGAGATTTGTGGATCATATCAAAATGAAGTAATTAGTATGAAATTCGTCGTCGTTGTAGTCGTCGCTCTACTATTAATTGAAGCTATCAGCGCAAAAGTAGTGTAACCACGTGAAATGCAAAGTTTATTGAATATCACGATGTTTTGCTACAATGATATTCCATTATTTTCTGTATATAACTTAAAAATAATTGTGTACTAAAGTACTAATAGTAATGCTAAAGCATCACTTACAGCATAGGTTCACAAACTTTGCCTCACCGCCCACTTAGTTAAGATAAAAAAATTTCAAATCCATCCACCACAATGACTAATTGAAAACACATATTTTTTATATTCATATAACACAAAAAATTACTAGGAAAAAAAATACATATGCATATATTATTATTATGTAGTGTAGTTTATATAGATCATTTAGGTTTTTTTTAAATGCGGTAGCACCCACGCCCCCAATTGCTTCCGAGGACCGCCCTGGGACTCTTCAGCGCCCAACGGCGGTAGGGACCACTTTGAGAAACTCTGATTTAAAGTAACATCGTAGAACAAAAATTAAACGTGTGTTACACCATTTTTGCGCTGATATTATGCCTCAAATACAAGCTAAAGATTAGGCAACGAAAATGTACACTGCCATTTTGAAAATTTCTATTTAGAAATGTTGCAGACAATTTCTCTTATAAACATGTGTGTATGCATGGTTAGTAAAGGCAGTTGTAGTAACCGTTACACGGTCCTATTCTAGTTAGAGAAGTACGCCACAATTGATTAGGCTGACTCAATGCGGGTTAGGGAGTTAACAAGACTTTGAGAGTGTTGTGAACCTTCTACGACAAGCAATTTAATCATAGTACTAGATTGTTTTTAACAGCACAAGTTCACAACCAGCTTTGTTTACAGAGCAGCCGCGAGACGGCGCTTTACGTGCTAGACTGCGTGTTTTCCGTCTCTGTGGTGGGTTCACTGGTTGTGTTCGTATGGCGAGGCACCTGGGCGCTGCTTGACATCTTCCTCTTCCCTGAAGAGCCTGTCAAGTCCTACATTTCTTCTTTGGTAAGTCAGTAAATAAGTATTTATTATATTTAAAAAAGTCGATAAAAATAACGACGTATTTTTGTTAATTAAAAGATGATTAAAAGAGTTTCCTAAAACACGTCACTGTGTTCCTGAACACAATAACGTGAGTGCATTTATGAAATAATTCGAATTATTTTATTAAATATTACATCTCAAAATGTTACATAACAGGTACAAAGGCCATTTGGCAAAAAATAATTATTTAAAAGCAATATAAAATATGACGCTACTTAAACTTTTGGTACGTCAGTAAATAAGTACTCTATTTATTTTAAATGGATATCATAATGTTTTTACTACTATAATATTCATTAATTTTTATGAAAATACTCCATCAGTTTGTTATTATTATTGATACAAAGATCGACACACAAAGAAACGACGGACAAATACACAGAAATTTTCGACGACGTCTGTAACTACAGTGAGGCAGTGCGGTGGTTCGAGTCCAGACAGATCGAAAGATTTTTTCTTCGTGTTTGTTCGTACTTTTTATCAATACTAATAACAAAGTATTTACTCTGCAATTTGTAGTTACTCTACATAATTTACATTGTAGAATTTATCATCGTGTTATAAGTACGACTTATAAATACATAGTTTATCTTGTATCCTTATCACCTAAACAAAAACAATTGTAAAGTAGGAATAGCCAATTCATATAATTGTTATTTTTTTTAATATAAATACTACCGACCTCAAAAGTCCGTGGAATTACATTTATTTGCTAAGTTTTATTGAAATCGGCTACCGAAAAATACGCGATACCGGATTCATCCATACCGGATGCCACCCTTAGAGGTGGTATATTTTCTACAAATTTAAATAGAACCAATACTGAGATTAGACCTGTGTCGGTCGATCATTTTTGATAACCCAGGTTGATCATAACCTATGCGTAATGTGATCGGGTCAAATGATTCGATCATATGTTCGATCTTTTAACGGGTCACCCGTCGCACACGATACTTCCATAATAATATGGCGTTTAAAAGTGTCAAATTATACAATTAGCTTTTCTTTCTTTCCTGCTGATGGGTAATGTCTTAGAATAATAACGCATAGAATGATAGTTACATATCAAACGAACTGTCACAAGTGAGGCAAAAATCAAATTCATGTAGGCTAGTTTTAGCAGCAGGTTAATTTTCGGTTTTAGTGAATATTTATATCAAAATACAAGTTGAAACGCGTTACTTCCTTGTGGAATGTGATGTTAGTATCTATTTTATGTTTGTCTGACGTATTTTTACACTCATTTACCGCACATTTCGTCATTTTTAGCTAAAATTCTTGATCTGTTCGCGATGCAAGTTGACCTTGAGCAATGCAGGCCCGCCCGCTCGTGTAAGTCCTTTTGGCGCGCTTCAATTTGCCTTACTTAGCGTGTGTGGACTAGGTTTCTATGCGTTGTTATTCTAAGGGTAATGTGTATAAAGTTAAATGTAGTGTTAATGTTAATTTTTTTTATAGAAACGTAACACTTACAAAATAAAAATATATAAACAAAGACTTTTGAGCATTCAAAATCACTAATTTATTATTCATTAATATTTTAATATTAGCTAGTGCACTCATGAATAAACACAACATACCGAAAAACAGATTAAACTTACAAAATTACCATGTAATGGACACTACGCATTCATTGATCCGTTGATCTGTTAACCCGTTGCCCCGTTGACTCGTTGATCGATTGCTTGACTTTTTGATGTTCGACCCAAACAAAAAGTGAGAAGGCGAACCGTGTCGTGATTAAGGACTTAGTGACACTGAGTAATAATTTCTAAAATTATAACAATAAATTCGAATATTGTGCGCATGACCCGTGAAACTCTAAAATGATCGGGTTATTTAGAAGATAGTGATTGGGTTATCGGGTCACAGGTGCTGTTCGAATGATTTCGATTCAATCGAAATCGGTTCACAAATGCCGGAGTAATCTCGTAACGTACAAAAAATAAGAATACAGTCGAATTGAGGACCTCCACCTTTTTGTTTGACGTTGGTTAAAAAGTGGCCCTCTCTTTTATTGTACCAATGAGGTAGATTATTTTTGGCGTCGTGCTATATGTGAGTTGCTGAAAAATTTCATTTATGGTTGCTTATTAAGCGGTTCGTTCATAGAATTATTTCATATAGTTGACTGTAAACATAATAACAATTTCATAAATAGGCGAAGTTTACCGCATTTAGGTCATATGGTGACCAACGCCCGGTGGTCGGTACTCGGCATTGAGTCAGTGACCACTTGTTACAATTGCCGTTTCCCGTGTCGTCGAGAGGTGCTCGTACTATTTTACAAATAGTTAAACGATACTGAATTTTGATTCGTCAATAAATAAGACAGGTATATCTCACTGTCTCTTCGTCATCATCATATTCAGCCCACATCAACCCACTGCGGGGTAATAGGCCTCTTCTTTATTGCACCAAAAAGTATAGGAAAACAAGGGAAAACAGTTATGTTATGGTGCTATTTTAAGGTTTTTCTACTTTATTCCATATTCTAAAGTTTCTACCCGTGTGCTTTTTCTGTTAATTATAATTTCATAAACCACATCATAAAGCGTTATTTTTACTTCTGAATCAAAATTCTGTTATCTATAGTACCTATGGTAAAAAATTTATGAGTATCAATTCAATACAAATTTGAACACAGTTAATAGCGACATCTCTAGCCGGGCCTGGTAGCTGTAAAGTTATCTAACTGGGTGACGAAATACTTTCATAGATTTCTCAGAGATGGCGCTACGGCTAAAAAGGCGTTGAAAAACCAACAAAAATCTGACAACATGCACATAGAAAAATTGGTGACGTCAGCTGGTTCGTTCCGTGACTTAGTTGGCATAGCGTCTGCCATGGATTACTAGAAGATATCGGTTCGAATCCGGCCGGATCGAAAGATTTTTTCTAAGCATTCGATCTTTGTATTAATAATTATAATAAATTAGTAGAATAATTTAATAAAAAATAAGTTAATATCAATTCTATACAAATTTAAAAAAGAACTAATTAAATGCAATATAAAATATCAGATATATGACAACGCTCTGCAGCCTCCTGGTTAAAATATAAGCGGTACTTAGCCTATCACGGACACTTCTTATTCTATATATCTTTTTGTTTTTTGTTTTGTAGCGTTTTTTTGGCTTCCGTTTGAGTTTGTTGTGAATTGTTAACAAATAATCTTTAAATGTTGGTTTTGTTTCATAATTTTAATTTACTCGTAGAAAAATTATTGTATGCAATCATTACATTAGTGGTCTTAAAATCTCAGACCACGAGACATTTTTAAGAACTGTCATACAATCATTGTATAAAACACTATTTGTGTACTCATGTCCAATTATAAGCCGTAATATGTTAATTTCCTTCTTCTAAAGATACAAAATGACAATCGCGTTGAATATCAAAGAGTGACCATGAAACAAATTGCAGCACGTGGGAGAAACAGGTGGACTGATATATACGTCTCCTTTAGTAAAAGGGAGCGAGTACAAATTGGCCAGTTTACCTCATTAGCCACAGTTCCTGTTCCAGTTCCTGTTCCCATGCACTTGTAGAGTTCACTTTGTTGTTGATGAACAATTTGAACTTTGAAAGCTAGTGTGACGTTCAGATTGAACAGTTAAAGCCCATATATTTCCGAAACCACATTACACTTTTTTTTATAATATCAAGTAACGGGACGAACAAGCATGTGCCTGGTGGTAAGCCACATGTCTGTCCATTTGCAGTGCCACTAAGAGCTTTAAATAGCAAAGATCTGAGGGGCACTGCCGCTACGCCCGTCACCCTGAGACACAATTTGACAAATCCCATGTGCCTGTAATTTTAGCAGCACCTTGTTTGTACATTGATTTCGATTCCCGGAAGTATAAATCCAGAAAACATTATTTTCTTAAAATTCTGGTCTTAGTATGTAAAGTAGAGCACCGAAGATATATAATTTGGTTGCTCTGGTATTCATTAACATCAGGTAACTGATGTGGCTGTCTGGCACATTATTTTAACTTCGTACTGGCCTTTAATATACACTGTTAGACCTCAGTTCTAAAGATATCGATTGTTCACTGGTAACAGAGCTATTACAATGCTTTTTCTTCTTCTTGAGGTTCCTCTCCTATCGGAGGTTGGACAGCATCATGGCAATCCCGACTTTAGGGCTGCCGCTCTAAAGAACGAGGTGGTACTGCAGCCGAACCATTCCCTTAAATTTTTCAATCAGGAGTGCCGCCTTCTACCAACATTTAGTTTTCCAGCGATTTTGCCTTGGATGATAAGCTGGAGTAATTTCTATAATAATAAATTATTGTTCCTCATAACATGCCATCATCATCACCATTATCCATAAGCTCCACTTTTTTTCTTCAGCTAATTGAGTATTTCAATATTTGCAACCCGGTCACACCACGATATTCTCAAAATACGGCGGTAAATCCACATCTCAAAAAAAGCTTCCTTGTCGTGTTTTGCTTGACAAACACAATGCTTAAGTCCATAAATTAGAAAGATATCTTAAGCCAGTTTGGTTATATAATTAGGTACTATCATTCTATCTTTTTCTATCGCACAACAGCAGAGCTCAATAACTTATATTGGGCAGCCGTGTACTTGATAAAAGATTTAGAGTCTTAACATACCATCTATGTCTCTCAACTGATACTTCCTCGTAACACCTTTATGGTATAGATGCCCGATGCTACGACGGTATGTCTTCGGTGTGTTTATAATTTGTATAATTTTTTTTTAATCTCTGCACGCCACACGTTTTTGAGGTTTTGCTAATAACATGATTTACATGTACAATGCGGATTCACCTTAAATGAAATAATATGTGGACGTTGTTATTCCTGGACCTCGTAGTTAGATACGATGATATCATTTTTTTTTCTGCAGACAGTGTTTCAGTCAATAATATGGGCAATTTTCGAATTATGAAGCGTTCGTCATTGTTATTAGTTACTTCTGGG